CCTCCTCCTCCTCGGGTCGCCTACGGCCCGGGGGGGAACCACGCATCCTCATGTGGCACACAGTTGTTTCCAGGATTGTTGTACTCCCTGGCGATGACGGGCGTCAACCCTGGGGGGGAGTGGGGGGGACTTCACGATTTGGGCCCGCGGCGCCTGGGAATTCCTGAGAGTGGCTAATTCCCAGACAGCGCCGGCGCGAAACATGACGTGACCAGGGGGTTGGGTGGGGGCGGGGCCAGTCACGGGCGTTACAGTCGGGCCGCTGAATAAGGAACACTTTTTGGTTGGGGAGGGGCTCAGTGTTCCTCGATTGTTTTAAAGCTAGTCTCAGGTTTTCGTTCGGTTTTCCATTGGAAATTTCAGATCAGCTGATGGAAACATGGGCACTCGGTCCTTATCGAGCGTTCCTTATGACAGCGTTTCGATTGTATCGCGAACGGTAAAGTAATGTTCTCCAGATTCTGGGGACAGCGTTTCGATTGTATCGCGAACGATAGAAAAAAGATCTCCTGTTTCTTGGTGTTCCATTGGACGTGCGTGGACGGCAGGTGCGCGCCGCCGCGCTTGCGCGGCAGAGGCCCTGGCGTTGGCATTGAATCTCAAACGCCGCTGGCTGCCAGGGTTAGGTCAGGCCTGTCCCTCTACAGGAGAAAGATGAAAAGATATGTTTAAAATAGTCTGGGGACGATGTTTGATGATTGTTGGATCATTTCTGCATAGTTCGGAGGTATGTTTGATCTTTCTTCCGACATTCGCCTGTAGGGGGGCATGCCCGACCTAACTCTAGTTGCCAGGGACCGTCCGATTCACGACGACATGCGCTATCGGAAAGCCGCCATCGTTGAGGGCGCACGATCGACGCAGTGTCAGACACCAACGTGGACGCCGTCGTGAACGACCCTGTGACCCCCGCAGCGCTCGCACTCAGGAGTCTTATCTTCGGATCGTGTCAGAGAGAGGGTGCCGACCGGTCTTTCACTGTCCTCGGGTTCGTGGTTGAGGTGGGGTCACGCAGTGCGGATGTTGGTGTTTCTGTTGGTGAAATCTCAGTTCGGGAGAATGCGTGTTGTGGACACCCCCACTGAAGGTGCGCCCTCCGACTTTCTTATTGTGTTAGTGAAAGTATTTCTGGTTCAAAGTGTGTTGGTGGCCCTATGTCTACAACAAGGGCTCCCGTCTGCTACTAACTCACTCAGGGATCGTGCTCTCGTCTGGTGTGTCCGTCACAAGTGCTCAAGATTTGTTTTCTCGCCCGACGCCCTGTCATACTTCATTCAAGTATCGCGTTCTAGCCGACCTGCAACCGTCCTCTCGCCGAGGACTTGCTGACGAATTGCTCTGATATCGCGCTCTCGCATGAGGCTTCCTTTCCATTCAGCCCGGCCGACCCGCCTGATAGAGCCCCTCCGCCCGACCCGCCCGTTGGGGCTCGCCCGCCCGGTTCGCCTGTCAGGGTCCGCCCGCTTGGCCCGCCCGCTGAGCAGGTCGGTGGTATCCAAGCCGGCTCCCCCGCTTCAGTGTCCTGCCGCCCCGGCACGCCCGTGAGGGTCCGCCCTCGCCTTCCCGCCCGTCATAGGGTCGGCCCCCCGACCCGCCCGTGAGGGTCCGTCTGCTCGCTTGCTTGCCAGCCCAAGGTCCCCCGCTTTCACGTCCCGCCCGAAGGACCCGCCCGTCAGGGTCTGTCCGCCCCGCCCGTGAGGGTCAGTGCGTCCGATCCGCTTCTCTTACCCTGTGGGATTTTGCCCAGAGCTGGCATTGAGAAAGAAGTCCCTCAGAGCAGGCATGGTCGTGAACGAAGCGGGCGAGAGCCGGGGGTGTGGGGGGGAAACTTGCACGGTGAACGCCACGCGGGCGACGACAGAACGAGCTGGCTTACTATGAATCTTGTCGTTGCCGTCGTCGTCGCCCTGCAATCCACCTTGCAACCCACCCCCCCGCGACCCGCCCGCGACACGCTCGCGCTGCGACCGACTCGCGGCACACCCGCGTCCCGTGCACGACCCACCCGTGACCCGCCCGCGCCGCTCTCTGCCCCGCGAGCCATCCGCGACATTGCTTCAACCGAATCGGCGCATGCCGCGGGCTGTTTCGAGTTGGCTCTGGAGAACACAGCTGTGCATCCTCGCACGCGGGACTGGGCGACAAGGCGCCAATCAAGTCGGCGCTGGCGGCGGGTCGACCAACCCATGTTGCCTCCAAGCGCAGGCAGGACATCTGTGGCTTCGACGCGCTGTTCAGTTTACGTTTTGAAGATTTGCACTGCGCACCCTCGCCCGCGCGTTCCCGCGACGATGCGCCCTGTGACGCACCCACATTGCTTCAGCCAAAGCGGCGCCTGATGCCAAGAGCATACTAGAGCAGCGCCTGCCGCAGCCCGCTTGGGGGACCCCTTTCAGGGCCAACGTTAGGGGGGGATAGGCTCGAAGGATTCGACCCCCAATCGCGATGCCAATCGCCCACTGATCGCTGATAGTGGCCTGATACCCCAACCCGCCCAGGACCTTGCGGATTCGCAATCGGTGGCCTATCGCCGATCTGTTGGCGATGTATCGCCGACTCCAGCTCGATGTCCCGCCTTGAGCCCGCCCCCTCCGTCTCGCCTCTCCTCCCTTCACTCTTATCCGCAACTGCAGGGGCTCGAGGTAAAGCATCGCCCCTGTGTGCTGGGTTTGCGGCGTATTCGCCCGCAGGGCCCCGCTCGTGGGGTGGCTGCCTGGGGGGTGTCAGCCTCAGTTGATGCCGAGCGCTGCGTCGTGATTCCCCAAGAATGGTCCCGTCCACAGTGTCCCATCCCGAGCTGCGCCCGCATGCTGAGGTCTTGCTTTCACCCTGTGAGCGCTCGGTGCTTGCAGCACGTGTATCCCTTGCTGCGCTGCTCGCCCGTGCGCACCGAGGGGGTACTCTGGCGCTTGCGGGCGCGGTGGCGCCGTCGGCAGGGGCTGCCCGGGGCCCTGGGCTCGCCGGCGGCTTGATGTGCGGACGGGATGCCATCGCCTCCGCCTCCCCAGGGAGGGTGGGATGTTCCACGTGCCCTGCAGCAGAAGTGCGCAGCATCCCGCAGGTTCGGATAAGGATGAGACAACGAGCCCGCCGCAGGCGCCGACTGTTTCGTCAAAGCAACGTGGCTGGGTCGCGGGTGGGTCGAACGTTCACGTCCTGCAGAAAATGCACGGTTGCTCACAGGGTGCTGCCCATTGGGGGGCTCCTGCCTTCGTTGACCCCCCGCGGCGTCTTTGCTTTTTCCAGCAGGTGCCCACAGGGTCTTGGCTTCGGTCGCCCTGCGCTCCCCACTGTTGGGGTTCAGCTGTTTGCGTCGGCGCCGCCACTCGTTGGAAGAGACCCTCGGGCGGCGCCGTGTGACACACAGGCCCGTGGCCTGCGGCTTCGTTGTGCAGATTTCGCGCACCCAGCTCGTCCAGTGCATCCCCCCCGCGCCGCGCCAGAGTCTTGATGCCAAGACACCCGGCGCATCCTCCGTGCGGCGCACTGGCCCGTAGCCCACGGGTTCGGTACCCCGCTTGTCGCGTTAACACTTTACACCGGGAGCGGCAAGTAAGAAGGGGCCTGCCAGCAGTGCCCCACGGAAGAGTCTCATTCCCGGCGACCCCCCGCGCCCCCATTGGCCTTTGTGGGTCTCCACGGTGTCCAACATGGACCGAGCCCTTAGATTTCTTATGGCAAGGCGCGCCCAGCGCTAAAATGGACCGAGCCAAGATGGACTGCGGCAAGCGCAGCGCCGCTCACGAGGCCCAGGAGAGCCCCAGGCCCAGGCGGGCTTCATCATCATGCAACGCTTCGTCCTCCTCAACCTCCTCCTCCTTCTCGTCTTCCTCATCCTTATCCACCGCCTTGTCCTGTTTCACCTCCCCTTCCTTCCCCTGGCGGGCTTCATCATCATACAACGCTCCGTCCTCGTCCTCCTCCTCCTCCTCCTCCTTCTCGTCTTCCTCTTCCTGATCCACCGCCTTATCCTGTTTCACCTCCCCTTCCCCCCCCTCATCCAAGCCCCTCCTTCTGGCAAGATGTTTCTGCTGGTGTGCGCCCCGTGTGGCACCCCTCACAGGGCATGGGGGGGCGCCAGGCGGCCCCGGAGTGCGGTGCGGCACGAGCGTGAAGTCGGGCATGTCCCTCTTAGAGAAGTCATATTCAAAAATAAGCAAAAATAGTCTGGGGACGATTGGTTGAGCATGTTTGATAATGTTTGAGCATGTTTGGAATACCACACAAGCTCTGGGGCACCTTGGGGCTCTCAGAGGTCGACGAAGGATGCACCCAAAGACTTATGATGCTCCAACCGTAACCTACTTTAGCCTTGACCACCGGAAAGGATTTCGAGCACCAAGACAGTACCCAACTGGAGGTCTTTCACGTGTGGGGCCCTGGGAGGCGACACTCGTTCGACACCGTTCCGATACTTTGCTGGGTGCTCGAAATTATTTCTGGGATGTGGTCCTTAAGTACTGGGGGGTTGATAAACCTCATACCCTGACACGTCGATTGGCGAATTGGCCGTTTTCAGTTTAGCGAGAGGGCGTCGTTGCCGTCATTTTTGCGGGTCCAGGCCCGTCGGTTTCGGTCCCATGCCGTTTTTCATTAGAGGGTGGTTTGCTAAAGGGAGGTTTGTCCCCCGCCGAAGTACGATGGGAGCAACAGAACCCGAGACGTCTCGTACACCTGGCACGAGCGCCGCGCGCGGCCCCATTTCTGGAGGGGAGGAGGAGGAAGAGGAGGAGGAGGACCAGGAGGAGGAGGAGGGAGGAGGAGGAGGAGGAGGAGGAGGAGCCTGAGGAGGAGGGAGGAGGGAGGAGGAGCAGGAGGAGGAGGAGGAGGAGGAGGAGGAGAAGCAGGAGAAGCAGGAGGAGGCGGAGGAGGAGGGTCCCTCCGCTTCTTCGCCTGTGGGCCCTCCGCCCTGGAGTGCCCCCTCGGTGTGGGCATCGCCCCACGGGGCCTCGGGCCCCCGGCCGAGAGGGGGGCTCCTGGCCTCCACCTGCGCTCGCGTGGCCACGCGTCGGCCGTGGCAAGGTCTCGTGCCGCGTGCGGCTACTGTGAAGTCGGGCCTGTCCCTCGACAGGAGGGGTGCTCAGAAACAGTCAAGGAGTACTCAGGGGACGATTTGTTGAGCTATGTTCTGGTGTGTTTGAGCATTTGCTGGGAATTTCCTATCCGTTCAGAATCCGCCTGTAGGAGGACATGCCCGACCTAAGCGTGGCAAGATTTCGTACCGCATGTGGCTACTGCAGGTCTTCCACGTCTTAGCGCTTCCTCCCTCCTTCCCTCGCGCGGCCGCCCTCGTCGTCGACGCCGGACAATTCGCCTTTCGGTTGCCCCGATTAGTCTCACGCTGGTGTGGACTGCCTCTGCCTCGCCGCCGACAAAAAAACTAGTTACTGCATTTCTTTGCTTGGATCGCCACGGGGGGTGCTAAGTGGGTAGGGGGGCTACGAGTGGATGGTGAGGAGGGATCTATCTGGCTTGGCCCAGCTTTTCAAAAGTGGGTGAGAAGTGCCTCGTGTGGCCTAGGGCTTAAATTGGAGGCAAGATCTGGGCGATGCGGGCTCCGTCCACTTAGCGGCTTTATCGAATCCACCCAAGTCACCCAGGGCTCCCGTGACACACTCATGCGCTAGGTTCGTGCAGGTAGCGCCCGCCTTAGCATCCACCGATACAACCCCCTACCCACTCCTATTCCTCCTCCTCCTCCTCCTCCTCCTCCTGCTCCTCCTCCTCCTCCTCCCTCTCCCTCCTCCTCCTCGTCCTCCTCCTCCTCCTCCTCCTCCTCCTTCTCCTCTCTCCTTCTCCTCCTCCTCCTCCTCCTCCTCCTCCTCCTCCTCCTCCTCCTCCTCCTCGTCCTCCTACTCCTCATTCTCCTCGTCTTCGGTCCGCCCCCCTCCTCTCCCTCCCCTTGCGTGGCTGGCGCATGCACGGATGCACGGTTAGCACGCGCAGCCTTCCTTGAAACCCTCGTGATTGCACCAGCACCATCAGAGCCCTGGCGCCAGGCTACAGTTGTGCCAGTTCACCGTGTTGGCTAAGGTGCGCGGTGATGAGGGTCGGACGGGACTGGGACCCAGATCCTCTCGAGTCCTGAAAACATTATGACGGGAGGTTGTTTGCTATGCTCGGCCTTGCCTGGCCTCGGAACAGTCAAAACACGACTCAGGATGAAAAGCCGGTCCCGAGGAATGGGTCTGGACCTCTGGGGTCGCGTCATGAAAAAGCATTACGTCGGGGGCTTGGGGCCAGGACAAGAATTAGTCCGTTCCAGAGCGTCCCGGAACGCTTTCAAAGCGTTCCAGGGCGCTCTGCTGAGGCCGCGGCGCGCCCGAGACGTCCTCCAGAGCCGCCGGATTTCAGAGATCCTGGATCTGCCCTCGCCCGATCGTGTCCTCGTCCTGGCTTCGTCTGAGAGGGGGGGCCATCATGAACATCAAGACCTGCCCACTTACTCAGCAACCCCGCGGCGACGCCGGTAGTCCTTGTGCGCCGTACGCCCTCCCCGCACGCAGGGTGTCGCTTCGCGGCGGCATGCCCGGGCGTCCTGCTGGCCCGCGGCGAGGGCGCCGCAGCGGCCGACGCCGTGGCGCGCGTCCGGGCCGCCATGGGCCAGGCGCCCCTGCCAGTGGTGGGCCTGGACTGCGAGAGCGGGAGAAGGTACCAATACCGTTAAGTCGGGCCTGTCCTCCCCCTACGGGAGGAGTATTCAAAAATAGTTCAAGAAGAGTCTGGGGGGTATTTTTCTGATATATGTGTTTTACAATTCCGCCTTTGGGCGGACATGCCCGACCTAACAATACCGCTAACCCTTCCCTCGTTTACGTCCTCTGGGGCCTCCTGCGAGCTGGGGGGCCCGCGCCGCCACGGCTGGACTCGCCTCGGAGTTCTGGTCAGAGGGAGCCCCCGGAGAGGTCCGGGGTCTGGCGGTAGGGGCTGCCTTTGGTTTGCCCAGGACTGCGAGTGGAGGCGGCCAGGGCGCGGGGGCAGGACTCCAGATGAGGTAATCCAGACGTCTGGCCGCTCCAGTTTTTCGATGCGTGGGCCCTGCTGGAGGTCTGGGCCCATTCTCCAGGGCCGGTTTCTAGTCCTGGTTCGTGGTTCGACGCTCCCCGCGAAGGCCCCAGGGCGCTCCAGCTTTGGTTCAGCGTCGGATCTCTGGGGATCCGTCGGCGACAATGGGGTGTGGTTGCGCCAGGGTGTGGTTTACGATCTTCGTCGGGCGGGGCTTGGGGGGCACCACGTTACCCTCGCCGGTCCGCCTCTGGGCGTGGCGGAGATCTCTGTCGAGGTCGTCGCCGTCGTCGCCGTCGTCGTCTCAGTCGCCGTCTCCGTCGCCGTCGTCGTCGTCGTCGTCGTCGTCGTCGTCGTCGTCGTCGTCGTCGTCGTCGTCGTCCTCGTCGTCATCGTCTGCGTCGTCGTCGTCGTCCTCGTCCTCGTCGTCCTCGTCCTCGTCCTCGTCCTCGTCTTCGTCCTCGGTCCTCGGTCCTCGTCCTCGTCCTCGTCCTCGTCCTCGTCCTCGTCCTGGTTCTCGTTCTCGTCGTCGTCGTCGTCGTCGTCGTCGTCGTCGTCGTCGTCGTCGTCGTAGGGTTGCAAACCACAGCCTTTGCCAACCGCGCTCTTTGGAGTCGCCGAATCCAAGCCTCCCGAGTAAGATCCGAGAGGTTTCTCGACGGTTCTCCAGCCTCGGGATGCGTTCCAGCAGCTGCGACCCGCCGAGAGCGTTCGGGGGGGGGGGGGGGGGAGGCCCAGTGGTCCCGAACGGGCGCCTGAGGCCTGGCGCGACAATCGCCGTGGGTTGGAATGATAGTTAGTCAGAGGAGGGCGCGTTGAGACAGCTGTAGTTGGCCTTCGGGGGGGGGCCGGGGGGGGCTTGCCGCCGCGGCTGGACGCAGCTCGGGGAAGTGGTGCGCTTGGGCCCCGAGTGGGGTATCGAGTCCTGGGGCCGATTTTGCGCTGCAGTCGTCTCGTCGCGCCCTGCGCTCGGCGGCGAAGAAGGGGGGGGGGAAGCGAGAAGGCGAGGGCCTCCTCAGAAGGCGGTGGGACTCCTCTCCGAAGCCCCCTCGCGCCTCCTCGAGGAGTCGTTTGTTGGTGTCCTCGGGGAAGGCGCAGAGAACACTTCGCAGAAGGCGGGAGGACCGCCGAGTCCTCCGAGAGAAGGCCTTCTCCTGCTCGCTTTCCCCCCCCCTCGCTCGCTCGCCTAGCCGAGAGCTCGGCGCGCCCTGCTCCGAGAGGGGGGCAGGCGGCGTCAAAAGGCGAGGCCCCGGAGCTCCGACGACGGCGCTCGCGCGGCAGCGCCGCCCCCCGCAGCGGCGGGCTCGAGAGGGGAGGGGGGCGGCGAGGCTCGTCCGAAGGATTGCAAAAAAACAAAAGAATAAAAAAAAACAAAAAAAAAAAACAAAAAAACAAAAAAAAAAACAACGATGGATTGCAGCCCGCGGGGCTCTGAGGGCCGCCGCGAACACAGGGGGCTGCTCCTCGCACGCTGCGCCCCGAGCTCGCCGCAGGCGAGAGAGGTGTTGTCGATCGGAGGTGGACGGACCTCCTGCCCGGACACGTCGAACAGCGAACTGGCCGTCTTCGGCTCGCGAGAGGGCGTCGCGGCCGTCATTTTTGCGGGTCCAGGTCCGACGGTTTCGGTCCTTAGGCCGTTTTCACTAAAAGGTGGTTTGCTAAAGGGAGGTTTGTCCACCGCCGAGTCAGAGAGACGTGGGCGGGTCAACGACATGCGGGTGCGTCGCGGTTTGGCCGCGGGTGGGTCGCGGGTGGGTCGAGGGTTGTTGCGGGCGGCGACGACGGCGGTGACGACGACGACGACCACGACGACGACGACGACGACACTCATCTTATGACCTGCCCTCTTTGTCTTCGATCGTGCCCCCCTTGGGGGTTTACCCTCCTTACCTGCCAAGTGTGGTTGGCGCAGCTCCTAAACCACAGGGAGGGAGGAGGGACGGTTCAAGGGGGAGGGAGCAGGATGGAGGACTAGAGAGATTAGCAGGAGGGGGGCCAGGAGCAGAAAACAAGCGGCAGAACCAGACGGGCGGACCCTAACGGGCGGGTCGGGCGGGCGGTCCCAGACGGTTGGTCCGAGCGGGCGGATCGCTGACGCCAGAGTCCTGCATAAATCGCGCGGAGGTCTGGAGCGACAGCGCGATTCCCAAGTAACTCGTGAGGAAATCCACCAAAGCGGGAGTGAGATTCCTCAGTGTCGAGGGCGCGGCGTTACAATAGCGATGAAGTCTCACGCGAGAGAGCAATTTCCTTCAAATTGTGAGGATGGCCCGCGCGAGAGCGCGAAGTGGAATAATTTGGGAAGAGATATCAGGCGGGAGCCGCTGCTGGTGTAAACCAGCGGCCAACAACACCTTCTGAGGCGCAATATGTTCCGTTTGTGCAACACAGTACGAGCCACGTGGGTGGCACTTCATATAGAAGACACGAGGTGCATTGGTGAGAGTACGACCATTTTTCTTCAGGCAGTGGAAACCAACGAAATAACAAGCATAATCTGCTCCGCGGAATCCCACTTCAGCCACGCACCCAGAGACGATTTAAGATTGTTCGACCCCCTCACTCGGATTGAGCAATTATCTAAGTCCTAGCCCTAACAGAATGACATCGTAGCATTAATTCAATAGGTCCTCGACTCTTCACTTGAGTTGGAGATTCGGGGGGAAAGACTGCCCCGATCCTTCATGTTTCGGGCCTCATCACTGAGGTCCCCTCCCAAATCGTTAGGGGGGTTCTCATTGCTGCTTATCGGAGGAGACAAGCGAGGAGGGTCGAGCCCCACATCTCCTACGATAGCTATCATTGCTCGATCCCTGCAGTGTTTCCTTAAGCGACAGCTTGTGATTTCTAGGTTTATAGAGCTCCCAACCCGTCTCGCACACCTTGGATACCGCGGCCGCCAGGACCCAGGGGGGCGGTGCTCCCCAGGGACCCCGCCTCGAGTCTTCGACGAATGACGACTGCATACTCCAAATCCCGTACTAATTGTCCCCTGGGTCCAGTTTTTAGGCGTTTTTTTTGGAACTGGGAGGTTCCGATTTATTGGGGCGCTTTCTTTGGATCGGAGCTTAGGGGGTCCGGTGTACGCAGGTGCCCCGTCGAAGAGGGGGTTCCGAAATGTTAGATCGTCGACTCCCGGGGAAATATGGGAAAATCTGGGAAGGGGGGGGGGAAGACGAAAATCCAGGACATGTGGGACTTGCGTGTATTTATTTGTGTGTGTGTGTCCTTGGGACCCTTGCGTCTTGGCCTTCAGCGGCCGCGCACTGCATCCTCGGACGCCGGGGACTCCTTCGCCGCGCTGCTGCCGCACTCGCCGTCGTCGCGCCGTGGTGCAAGTCCGTGAGCAGGGCAGGCCCGGCGCTCCGTGCCCGAGCTGCGAGGGCAGCGTGTCCACTCGTTGGGCGGCATTAAAACGACGCGAAGATCGGGACAAAATCGGATCGGGATAACTCGAAATCTCTGAGAATCGGCGGGTTTGGAGGATGTATTGGGCGCCGCGGCCGCTCCAGAGCGTTCCGGAACGCTCTGAGAGCGCTCTGGAACGCTCTGGATCGATTTATCCCGATCCTGGGCCTGTTTTAGGCATTCGGCTCCGTCTCCGTGTCCGTGTCGGCAGGCTGATGTGGCGAGCCCCTCACGTCGTTCTCACCGCTGCCGCGCTCGCATCGGGGGGCACCCCTACGGCAGGTTCGCGCCGTGCCGACCGGCGGCGACCCCAGCGCGGGCGTTTAAGGTTGAACGCCGCCCGTGGCCCAGAATCAGCCCGTCGTCGAACGATCCGGCGTTCACAGAACGGCCGATCGTTCAAGTTTGAAAGATCTCCGCGGTGTCAGGAACTAACGCCGGGGTCGACACGACGCGAACCTGCCGTGGAGAGATCCTGACCAGAGCCATCCTGGGCATGGCCTTCTGATGCAGTGTCAGGCATCGCCACAAGCATGCCCTTCGGAGGTCGTTGCGGACCTCGGGAAGCTTTGGGACGATGTTGGTTCCTCTTTCTTGGCCTCGGCCTGGAGGGGCCATACACCCTGGCAGGACCCATGGTGGCTCCGCCCAGACAGAGTGGTCGTGCTGCCATGCAGCCAGATCGAGTTCCGATGTATCGTTTATTCCAACTTTGGCCCCCCGAAAGTCACGACCCGTCCCCCAGAGCCCGCTTTTCAATCCCGAGTCGTTTGACGGTCCAGGGGGTCTGGCGAGGTCCCCAAAGCTGGGAAGCACGTCGTTCTGATTTAGTGAATACGCTGGAGGCCTGGGGAGATCGGCGGCTCTCGAGGCACAACTCGGGCCTCCGGCGGCCGTTTTGGACCATCCCCGCACCCTTGGAGCGCTCTCGGCGTGGCCCAGCTGCTTGAAAACTCTCAGAGACTGCAGAACTTGTGCTGGAACAAACGAAAAAAGCTTGGATCCCTTCGAACCTCGAAACTTCAGCACTTCTCGAGACATCCGACGATACGACTTTCAATGCGCGGCACGAGAGGTCCTGACCCTATCCCCAGGGTGATTCTTGGCCCGTATTGATTTGTGATGCTCCTTGGCCCGACCGGAGCTTGTTTTTTTACAGGTCTGGGCGATAACGGCCGTGATCGGCCGCATTCCCCCCAGATCACGTCACGCTATGTTGCCAACATGTGCAAAGATGCCTGCGGATTCTTCGAACACTTCTCAAGGACCCCCTCCTCCCCCCCAGATCTCAGGGGGGAGGAGCGGGGCGGGGGGGGGGGAACAGAGACGAGGGAGGAGCGAGGAGGAGAAGGGATGAAAGGAGGAGGAGTTGCAGGAGGAGGAGCCATATTTTGGCACACTCCGTCGTCGGCCGTTGTGTATGGGCCCCCCGAAGCTTCCCGAGTCTCTCCACGAGCTCCCAGGGGCCGGCCGCGGCCCCGTCCGCCTCGCAGGCGCGCGGCGCGGCTCGTAAGTCGGGCCTGTCCTCTACGAAGGATTGCAAAAAAACCCTTCGAGGGTTTTTTGTGCAATCCTTTTTTTGCAATCCTTCGAACGAAGGGTTTTTTTGCAATCCTTCGGTTTTTTTTTGCAATCCTTCGAGGAGCACCGAAAAGTATCACAAACATACTCTGGGGACAACGTTTTGACTACTGTTAGGCATGCTCTAACATCTTCGGGATGATTTTCTTTGTCGTCCAAGATCCGCCCGTGGGCGGGGGACATGCCCGACCTACGGCTGCGCTCCGGCGTGCGTGGCCTCGTGGTCGACGGGATGCTCTCTGGCAGGCCGTCGTGCTCGCAGGCCCCAGCGGTGCGCCGTGGGACGCTTCGGAGCTCACTGCGGCACCCCCGCCGTGACGTGACCAGGGGGGACGAACTCCCCCCCCCCCGCCTCCCCCGATCACGCCCGTTACCGCGAAACTAGAAAACGGGCTGCAACGTGCCCCAGGGGCGAAAACACCCAGATAGAATACTCAGATCCTCCAAGGTTTGGGCCCTGCTCCCCCCCGGTAATGCGGCTGCTCCCCAGACATCTCGCAGGAACCAGCATTTCAAAGCGAACTGGCGCCGAGGGTCTCCCAGGAGGCTCAGAAGGCGAAAACTATGCAAAATAGCGGTGCCGATTGGTATTTGTTCAAAGACCGACCGCAACCTTGTTTAGCTTGGTTTGGGATATTACTTTTATTGTTCCTTTTGTTGTTCATTTCTGTTTCGTTTCGTGTGCTTTCCCGTTGTTGCCTGCAACGCCTCGTCTCGTTGTTTTCTCGTTGGGTAAGGCAGTGGTTTCGGCTTAAACGTTCTTTTTAGTCGTTGGGCTTCGTTTCGTGTTTTGTGTTAAGCGCCGTTTCGTTTCAATTATCGTTATGGTCGGTCCTCGTCATCGTTTTTGTTTCTCTGACTTTCGCGCCTTCACCCCCCATCAGGATAGCGGGCGTGGACGTCGTGCAGTTGGCGCCCACGCCGAGCTTGGCGGATATCGGAAGAGGGCAAAGCGACGCCACTACCACCAGAAGGGGTGCCACACCTCCAGCGAGGAGGTCCACGAGGATCGAGGATCATCAGTATGGTTTAACCGATCCCCATCCCCATCCCCATCTCAACCCAGACCCCCCAACATCTCAGCGCCATAGTTGGGGATATACCCTTCGAAACCCGAAGGAAACAGCCAATATCCGCATCTCGGGCATTAAATCGGCCAGTAGGGCCCAGCCCACGCTGGTGGGGATGAGGATCGGTTCAACGATGAGCAGATGGAGGATCGAGCAGGAGGGTCGAGGATCCAGGATCCAAGATCGAGGGATCGAGGGATCCAGGATCGAGGGATCGAGGGTCGAGGATCCAGGATCGAGGGATCGAGAGATCGAGGGATCGAGGGATCGAGCATGAGGGCCGACGATCGGAGAGCAAAGCGACACCACCACCACCACCACCACCACCACCACCACCACCACCACCACCACCACCACCACCACCACCACCACCACCACCAGGGGTGCCACCTCCAGCGAGGGGGTCCAAGATGCCTCCCTGAGCTGCAGCGGGGAGGGGGGTCAGAGGAGGAGGAGGAGGAGGAGGCACCTGTGCCGCTACATTAAATCCCCTGTTAATCGCCCCCCCCCAGAAAACGGGACTCCCCTTCAAATGCGAACTAATATTCCGGACCCCCCTCTTCGACGGGGCGCCTCAACAGGTGGCACGTGTGCCATGGCTCTTGCACAATAAGGAAGGGGCGCGCTGGCTTGTGGGTGGGTGGGTGGGTGGGGGGGGCGTAATAAAAGGGGGGGCGCGCTGGCTGGTGGGTGGGGGGGGTGCGGAGGGCGCGCTGGGGCGCGCGGGGAGGGAGTGGGGGCCGTGCAGAAATAAAAGTGTCGCGGGGCGGAGGGGGCGCGCTGGCTGGTGGGTGGAGAGGATGCGGATGGGATGTGCCGTGCCGAAATAAAAGGGTTCGGTGCGGAGGGGCGCGCTGGCTGGCGGGTGTGGGGGGGATGCGGAGGGGGTGCGCCTTGCCGAAATAAAGAAGTCGGGGCAGAGAGGTGTGCTGTGCCGAAATAAAGGTGTCGGGGCGGAGGGCGCGCCGGCTGGTGGGTGGGGGGGATGCGGATGGGTTGTGCCGTGCCGAAATAAAGGGGTCTGGGCGGATGGGTGTGCCGTGCCGAAATAAAACAGTTCGGAGCGGAGGGGTGTGCCGTGCCGAAATAAAAGGGGTCGGGGCGGAACGGACGCGCTAGCTGGTGGGTGGGGGGATGCGGGCCCGTGCCGAAATAAAGGGGTCGGGGCGGAAGGGCGCGTGCCTCGAGGAACACGTGGTTACTGCCAACATTGTCTTCCAGAAGACGCTCGCCGTAGGATTGCCTATTTGGACCGTCAGTTTGGATTTATCGAAAGCGTTTGACAAGGTGGCATGGGGCCCACTATGGCAAGCACTCCATGATCATGGGGTGTCCGAACATATGGTATGGCTCATTCGACAACTCTATGCGGATCAAGTTGGTGTCATTGCGGGCGTCCGCACCTACAGTGATGAATTTCCTATTTCCGCGGGCGTCCGCCAAGGGTGCGCACTGAGTGCTAAGTTGTTCACATCCGCCATGGAGTGGGCAATGTCGCGCTGGAAGCAGAACGTTGGACATCTGGGAATTGATCTTGGAGATGGCGGAGAGCATTTGACGAACTTGCGATTCGCAGACGATTTGTTTCTTTTCGCATATTCGGAAAAGGAGGTGCGATTCTTACTCGACACGTTCGTGTTGGAGCTGCGCAAGGTAGGGCTTGTTCTCAACGCTAAGAAGACCAAGGCGTTGACCACTATGGCACAAGCTCCCTCCACGATCCGCACGCCGGAAGGGTTGACAATAGACGTGATCCACCGAGACTCGGCTCATAAACGGTTGGGTTGCATGCTGTCCACAGGGAGGGCGGACTCCCGCACTCTGGATCTGAATTACCACATGCAAGGTGCAGCCAAGGCATTTTGTGCGAATCGCCGTATTCTGTGCAATAAGAGAGCCTCTATCACACAGAGGTTGAAATTGTTCAATTCTGTCGTAACATCAGTGGCGTGTTTTGCAGCAGAACATCGCCCAATATATGTGGAAGATTTGAAAACAATGGATATCGAATTCCGACGCCTCGTACGACAGATTGTTGGGCCACCTCCGGGCGTTGATTGGGATGCACCGTGGCATGATGTACTACATGTTTGGCACGAGCGTGCACGCAACTTCGTCAACGGTGCTGGCATTCGCACATGGGCAGAACAATGCGTTCACCAGTATTTGTCGTTTGCACTATATGTTCAGCAGCTACCAGACACGAGGTGCATCGTCAGAGTTCTGAATTGGTCACCGCGCGGTCATCGTGCAGCAGGGCGGCCGACTCTTACATGGACAAGCAAATTGGAAGTTTTCGGCCGCGTGGTTGGCTCTCAATGGCGCGCTTGGTCCCCAGATATTTTTCGGGAGCGAGCCGCGGAGTTTCAACACTTTTGCTGCCATTATCATTGAACATGTGAGGGAGTATGTCTTCTCTCCACTCCGCGTCTTGATCCAAAGCAACAGAGGCGCAAACATTGTGCGAACGCCCTGCTGTCTGACACTGCTACCTAAATATCTGCTTCGCGCTCGAGCGCACCATCACAACGATAGGCCAGCTGAATGACTCCTCCTTTTTTGAGACGCACGTACTGTTTCCTTAAATGTGGCGCGCGCGTGCGTTGCGCGCTGCCGATTGCCACCGCCTGCGCCCTTCATAGGCTCGCCTTCCGGCGCACGGGCGTGACCTGACCTGGGCGGAAGGGCGCGCGGGCTGGTGGGTGGGGGGGTGCGGAGGCGGTGTGCCGTGCCGAAATAAAAGGGATCGGGGCGGAGGGGTGTGCCGTGCCGAAATAAAAGGGGTCGGGGCAGAGAGGGGCGCGCTGGCTGGTGGGTGGGGGGGATGCGGAGGGGGTGTGCCGTGCCGAAAAAAGTGGTCGGGGCGGAGGGGGTGCGGTGCCGAAATCAAGGGGTCGGGGCGGAGCGGGCGCGCTGGCTGATGGGCGGGGGGGGATGCGGAGGGGATGTGCCGTGCCGAAATAAAGGGGTCGGGGCGGAGGGGTGTGTCGGGGCGGAGAGGCGCGCTGGCTGGTGGTTGAAGGGGTGCGGAGGCTGTGTGCCGTGCCGTAAAAAAGGGGTCGGGGCGGAGGGGCGCGCTGGCTGGTGGAATGTGTGGGTGATTGAGGGGGTGCCGGGCCGAAATAAAGTGGTCGGAGCTCTAGACGCCCTGTGCAAGAGAAAGAAAGAGTCGGGGCGGAGGAGTGTGCCGTGCCGAAATAAAGGTGTCGGGGCGGAGAGGTGTGCCTGGCCGAAATAAAAGGGATCGGGGCGGGGGGGCGCGCTGGCTGGGGGGCGGGGTGGGGGGGGTTGTAAGGGGTGGTGCCGTGGCCGAAAAATAAGGGTGGGGCGGAGGGGTGTGCCGTGCCGAAATAAAAGGGGTCGGGGCGGAGGGCGCGGCTGCTGGTACGCGGGGTGGGGGTGCGTAGGGGGTGTGCCGTGCCGAAATAAAAAGGGTCGGGGTGGAGGGGTGTGCCGTGCCGAAATGAAGGGGTCTGGGCAGAGAGGGGCGCGCTGGCTGGTGGGCGGGTGGAGGCGGAGGGGGTGTGCCGTGCCGAAATGAAAGCGTCGGGGCGGAGGGGTGTGCCGTGCCGAAATAAAGGGGTCGGGGCGGAGGGGTGTGCCGTGCGAAATAAAGGGGTCGCGAAATAAAAGGGATCGGGGTGAAGAAGGGATCGGGGTGAGGAGGCGCGCTGGTGGTGGGTGGTACGGGGGGGGGCGTTAGGGGGGGGGCCGTGGCCGAACTAAAGGGTTCGGGGGCGGTAGGGGTGTCGCCTGCCGAAATAATAGGGGTCGGCCGGAGAGGCGCGTGGCTGGTTGGTGGGGTGGGGGGGGGAGTAGTAGGGGCGTGTGCCGTGCCGAAAGAAAGGGTCGGGGCTGGAGGGTGGCCGACGACGCCAAAAAAAAGAGGTCGGGGCGGAGGGGTGTTGCCGTGCCGAAAGACAGGGGTCGGGCGCGGAGGGGGCGGAGGTGTTTGCCGTGCCGAAATAAAGGGGTCGGGGCATTGGGGCGCGCTGGCTGGCGGGTGGGGGGGTGCGGAGGTGGTGCGCCGTGCCGAAATAAATTGTCGGGGCGGAGGGGTGTGCCGTGCCGGAATAAAGGGGTCGGGGCGGAGGGGCGCGCTGGCTGGTGGGTAGGGGGATGGGGAGGCGGTGTGCCGTGCCGAAATAAAGGGGTCGGGGCGGAAGGGTGTACCTTGCCGACATAAAGGGGTCGGGGCGGAGGGGCGCGCTGGCTGCCGGGTGGAGTTCGAGGTGTGCGGTGCCGAAATAAAGGGGTCGGGTCGGAGGGCGTGTGCCGTGCCGAGATAAAGGGCGTCGGGCGGAGGGACGCACGGGCTGGTGGGTGGGGGACGGGGGAGGCGGAGGGGAGGATGTTGCCGTTTGCCGAAATGGACGGGGTCGGGGCGGAGGGGTGTGCCGTGCCGAAATAAAGGGGTCGGGGCGGAGGGGCGCGCTGGCTGGTTGAATGTGTGGGTGATGGAGGGGGTGCCGTGCCGAAGTAAAATCGCCGGAGCTCTACACCCAGTGCAAGAGAATAAATGGGGTCGCGGCGGAGGTGGTTTGCCGTGCCGAAATATAGTGGTCGGGGCGGAGGTGTGTGGCCGGTGCCAAAATAAAAAGGGTCGGGGCGGAGGGGCGCAATGGTGGTGTGGTGGGGTGGGACGGGGGGGTGGGGGGGGGGGACGAAATGGGGGTGTGCCGTGTCGAAATAGAGGGGCGGGCCGGAGGGGTGTTGCCGTGGCCGCAATAAAGCGGTCGGGGCGGAGCGGTAGCGGCGCCGGCTGGTGGGTGGCGGGGGCAGAGGGGGTGTGCCGTGCCGAAATGGAAGGGGTCGGGGCGGAGGGGTGTGCCGTGCCGAAATAAAAAGAGTCGGGGCGGAGAGGCGCGCTGGCTGGTGGTTGGTCGAAGGGGTGCGGAGGCAGTGTGCCGTGCCGAAATAAAGGAGTCGGGGCGGTGGGGTGTGCCGTGCCGAAATACATGGGGTCGGGGCGGATGGGCGCGCTGGCTGGTGGAATGTGTGGGTGATTGAGGGGGTGCCGAGCCGAAATAAAAGTGGCCGGAGCTCTAGACACCCTGTGCAAGAGAAAGAAAGGGGTCGGGGCGGAAGGGCGCGCTAGCTGGTGGGGGGGACGTAGGGGGGGTGCGTGCCGAAATCAAATGGTCGGGGCGGAGGGACGCACTGGCTGGGGTGGGGGGGGTGGGGGGGGGGGCGGAGGGTGTGCCGTGCCGAAATACAGGGGTCGGGGCGGAGGGGTGTGCCGTGCCGAAATAAAAGGGTCGGGGCGGAGGGGCGCGCAAGCTGGTGGGTGGGGGGAGGCGGAGGGGGTGTACCGTGCCGAAATAAAGGGGTCGGGGCGGAGGGGTGTGCCGTGCCGAAATAAAGAGGTCGGGGCGGAGGGGTGCGCTGGCTGGTGGGTGGGGGGAGGTCGGGGCGGAGGGGCGCACTGGCTGGTGGGTGCTGGTTGGGGTCGGGGCGGAGGGGTGTGCGCTGGTGGGGGTCGGGGCGGAGGGGTGTGCCGTGCCGAAATAAAGGGGTCGGGGCTGAGGGGCGCACTGGCTGGTGGGTGCTGGTGGGTGGGTGGATGCGGGGGGGGGATGGAGGGTCGCGCTGGCTGGTGGAATGTGTAGGGGATGAGGGGTGTGCCGTGCCGAAATAAAGTAGTCGGAGCTCTAGACACCCTGTGCAAGAGAATAAACATGACCCCCTAAGCTCCAATCCAAAGAGAGCGCCCTAAGAAACCAGACCCCCCAGTCACAAAAAAGGCGCCTCAACAAAAACCGGACCAGGGGACGATCAACAAGGGATTTGGAGTACCCTTCCCTCGTCTTCGCCCTCCTATAGGCATCCGTGGAGGTCCTCGTCGCCACCGCCGGATTCGCTGCGGCATTCTGGCCAGACCGCATCCCGGGAGAGGCCGGGCGGGCCCCGAGGCCTCCAGGAAGAGGCCTCTCGGCATGGCGGAGGCGGGCTCCCGCGAGGCCTCCTGGTCTCCTCAGCAGGGCCCCCCCCGCTCTCTCGGGGCTCGTTTCGATTGCTCCGACTCGATTCGATTCGATTCGACGGCTTCCGATTCCGATTCGATTCGGCCTGGGATTCCGATGTGGGCTCCGATGTCACAATGGAGGCATATGAGCCTGCCGACTTCCGCCGATTCGGCTTTTCCCAATCTGGCTGCCGATGTCCGCCGATCCGATTCGTTCCGATCGCCGATCCGACTTCTTGATTCGATTTTAGCCTCGCCTGCCCCTCTCCCGGTACCTCGTTCCTCGCGCTGGTGGTGGCCATGTCGACGTTGTTTCTGTGACGAGCTGGCGGGCGCTGATGATGATGATGATGATGATGATGATGATGATGATGATGATGATGATGATGATGATGATGATGATGATGATGATGATGATGATGATGATGATGATGATGATGATGATGATGATGATGATGATGATGATGATGATGATGATGATGGTGATGGTGATGGTGATGGTGATGGTGATGGTGATGATGATGGTGGTGATGATGATGATGATGATGAGGATGAGGATGAGGATGATGATGATGGTCTCCTCAGGAGGCCCGCCCCCCTCTCCCGGTGCCTTGTTACTCGCGCTGGTGGTGGCGATGGCGGCGCTGTTTCTGTGGCGAGCCCAGGCGGGCGCCGCGGTCTTCCGCTGCGAGGGGTGCCGGGTGCCCGCGCCGCTGGCGGCGCTGCTCGAGGACCGCGGTGCTGTGCTGCCGCGGCGTCCGCGGCGGCCACCTTCTGTTGCATCCTTTGGGGGAGGTCGTTTGTCCTCCTTCATCTTCCTTCCTGCTTCCTCTTCCTCTTCCTCGTCTGGTGCATCATCTTCCTCTTCGTTTGTCCTTCTTCCTCTTCCTCGTCTGGTGCATTCTCTTCCTCCTTCCTCCTCGGGATCTGCCCTCTGCGAGTTCTGATTATTGTACCGTTTAGGGGTGCGGTGCCGTGTCCGAGGGGCACTGGCGGGATGTCGCCCCTCGTCTGTCCCATCGCGCCAGCCATCCGTGTCGAGCGCGTCGATTCCGCGTCGAATCCGTGTCGAGCTCACGTCGAGTTTGCCTCGAGCCCGCGGCGGCGGCGGCCGCGGAGATTCCATCAGGGGCAACGCCAGCTAGGAGCTCGTTCTGAGGACCTTCCTTGGGCCCACCTCACGGATCTGTTCGACTCCAGTTTGACACGGGTTCGACGCAGGTTCGGCTCCAGTTCGGCTCGGATCGACGGGCGGTCGACGCAGTTTCGACGCACGAATGGAGCGAGTTCATGGGCCTGTTTTCCTCCACCACCACCACCATAAGTTGGAGGGGGAAGGAGGTGGAGGATGAGAAGGACGAAGAGGATGATTGCAGTGTAACGCTGATGCCCTTAAGGGTAGGCATAACCCTGTGTGTCGGGTGGGGAGCTTGGGCTCAGCCACCCTAATTATCGAGGCGGTGCTGATGGCTCGTAAGCGCCTGCCGCAAATATTTAGCAGACGCCTGTGCCATCTCAAGGCGGAAGGCACATCCACCGACGGCCATGTCCCGGTGACAACGGGCTCTCGCGGGAAACGTCCCCTCCTGATCCGTCTCGTCCTACGCATCCTCAACCGTGCTTGCTGCCACTGGTGGCAGGGGTTGCCGAACACTGGGTGGGTCGTGCCAGAGGGCACGAAGAGGGCCCCCAGAGAGCTCCAAGAGGGCTCCAAGAGGGCCCCAGGACGCCGCTGGGCGCGGGCCCACCATTCTGCCACGAGACGCTTTTCTGTGGCAGAAGGCACCCGGCCCTGTCTTGGAGGGGCCCGAAGTCCTAAAAAGAGCCGCAAGAGCCCCCCCAGGAGGCCCAGGGCCCCACACCGCATGTACTTGCCATGTTTCTTGGGCTTGCCGTCTTCAGCCGTCTTCGGGCCCTCTTGGGGGCCTCCGGGGGCGGCTCGGAGCGCTCTTAAGTGGAAGCGCGCCTGGGCCCCGGGGCCGCGCCGGAGGGAGCCGGTCCACTGCCACTGCTCGCCCATTTAGCGAGCGGTGAACGCTGCATTGTAGTAGAGAGATGACAGAATTGGCGAATGACGGTCGAAGCGTTGGGAGAGCGGGTCACGGGACGGTGCACCGCTTAGGGGGGACGGGTTGCCGGGGCCGCAGCCAAGGAGATGGACGTGGGTAGACGGATCGTGAACAATCAAGCGTGAAGATTGCGACGATCGTGTCAGGGTCTTTCCTGGTACCTTGCTGGTGGCGTCGCTGCAGCAGCTAACGAAATCAAAACTAAGCTCATAGCTGTGGTCGTACCACTGCAAGTGTGACTGATGTTTGCAGAGGGATGGGCAGGGGAAGGATAAGAGCTACGGTTCAAGCAAAGCCGATATCGGCATATACGTATGGAGCGATGAATGCTTCGTGAAAAATTCAGGTCTTTGCAGACAGAGGCGAGTCAATAACATGCCCAACTCGCACCGGGCAGTGCCAGAGGGCACGAAGAGGGCCCCCAGAGAGCTCCAAGAGGGCTCCAAGAGGGCCCCAGGACGCCGCTGGGCGCGGGCCCACCATTCTGCCACGAGAGGCTTCTGTGGCAGAGTGCACCCGGCCCTGTCTTGGAGGGGCCCGAAGCCTTAAAATGAGCCGCAAGAGTGCCCGCAGGAGGCCCCGAGAGGGCCCCAAACCGCATGTACTTGACACGTTTCTTGGGCTTGCCGTCTTCGGCCGTCTTCGGGCCCTCTTGGGGGCCTCCGGGGGCGGCTCGGAGCGCTCTTAAGCCATCTTGGAAGCGCGCCTGGGCCCCGGGGCCGCGCCGGAAGCCGCTGGAGGGAGCGGTGGAATGATGAGGGGGACACGAAAGAGTGTCCAGGAGTCCGGACTACCGGCCTTGCCGCCGGGTGCGTCCTTGAGGCAACTGCCTCGCAACGGGGGCCAGCGTGCAGTATCTGAGGAGGCACGAAACCTGCCCTTGCCGCCAGGGAGTGGCGGAAGATGGAGGGGATGTGCTAAGACGAAAGAGTGTGCAGGACTACCGGCCTTGCCGCCGGGTGCGTCCTTGAGGCGGCTGCCTAGCGACTGGGGCGAACAGGACTACCGGCCTTGCCGCTGGGTGCGTCCTTGAGGCAAATGCCTCGCGACTGGGGCAAGGTGCAGAATCTGAAGATGCACGCAACCCAGCCTTGCCGCCAGGGGGCGGCGAAACAAGAAGGGGGCGGCGGGGGATGAGGAAATGCGCGAACATGTTCAGGACTACCGGCCTTGTCGCCGGGTGCGTCCTTGAGGCAAGTGCCTCGCGACAGGGGCCAGCGTGCAGGATCTGAGGATGTTCGATGCCCGGTCTTGCCGCCAGGGAACGGCGGAATCTGGAGGGGGAGGAGGGGGAGGGGTGATGGGGACACGTATAAGAGTGTGCAGGACTACCGGCCTTGCCGCTGGGTGCGTCCTTGAGGCAACTGCCTCGCGACAGGGGCCATCGTGCACGATCTGACGATGCACGAAGCTCGGCCTTGCCGCCAGGGGGCAGCGAAACAGGGAGGGGGGGCGGGGGATGAGGAAATGCGCGAAAATGTGCAGGAGTACCGGCGTTGTCACCGGGTGCGTCCTTGAGGCAAGTGCCTCGCGACAGGGGCCATCGTGCAGGATTTGAGGATGCACGAAGCCCGGTCTTGCCGCCAGGGAGCGGCGGAATGTGGAGGTGGGGGGGTGATGGGGACACGTATAAGAGTGCGCAGGACTACCGGCATTGCTGCCAGGTGCGTCCTTGAGGCAACTGCCTCGCGACAGGGGCCAACGTGCTGGATCTGAGGATGCACGAAGCTCGGCCTTGCCGCCAGGGTGTGGCAGAAGATGCAAACGAGCCTTGCCGCCAGGGAGCGGCGGAAGAAGGAGGGGGAAGAGGGAAACGAAGGGATGCGCGAAAATGTGCAGGACTACTGACCTTGTCTCCGGGTGCGTCTTTGAGGCAAGTGCCTTGCGACGGGGGCAATTGTGCAGAATTTGAGGAATGTGGAGGGGGAGGAGGGGGGGGTGATGGGGACACGTATAAGAGTGTGCAGGACTACCGGCCTTGCCGCCGGGTGCGTCCTTGAGGCAACTGCCTCGCGACGGGGGCCAGCGTGCAGTATCTGAGGAGGCACGTGACCTGGTCTTGCCGCCAGGGAGTTGCGGAAGGTGGAGGGGGAGGGGGGGAGGGGCGAAAACGAAAGAGTGTGCAGGACTACCGGCCTTGCCGCCGGGTGCGTCCTTGAGGCGACTGCCTCGCGACATTGGCGTGCGTCCAACCTCCGTTGAGACCCAGGTATATATGCTGGTGTCGCCCCAGCTGCCTAGCCCCAGGGGCGTTGGACAGGTGCTCGTCGGGCGTGCGCCATGCGGCGCGCGCCCTTACCAGCGCCCCATGCGTCTTGACCAACATTCACCCCAGGGGCTGCGGCAGCGTTCGGCATGGGGGGACGAGGAGGAGGAGGAGGAGGAGGAGGAGGAGGAGGAGGAGGAGGAGGAGGAGGGCACGGAGGGTGGGCGCCCCCCGCATAGCGTCGGGCGTCACCTTTCCTGCGCCCCGGCCGCGGGGAGGGAAACCGCGCGGCAGGCAGCTATCCGCGGGGTGAAAAGGGGCCGCGCCAGGCGGCCAGGCTGGCCGCGGCGCCGTGCGGAGCGGCGTCGTCAAGCGGTTCGGAAGGAAGGAAGGAAGGAAGGAAGGAAGGAAGGAGGAGGAGGAGGAGGAGGATCCCCTCCCCCTCCTACTTACGGTGGTGGTGGTGGTGGAAAACAAGGGCACCACGAGTGGTTCCAGGAAGGGCACCAGCATGAACACCTGGCGCGAGGGGACGGGCCCCAGACCTCCAGTTTTCGGCCTCCCGGTGGCCCTCGCCAGTGCCCGGGGCCGTCAGGACACGACCTGTGTTAAGTCGGGCCTGTCCCTCTACAGGAGGAATATTCAAAAATAGTCAAAAGATAGTCTGGGGACGATTTTTCTATCATGTTTTCTTCGGTTGGAAAAATATTAGTTGACTACTTTTTATTGTTCGTCCAAAATCCCCCTGTAGGGGGACAGGCCCGACCTAAGACTTGTGATGAAAGTGCGGCCCTGGGGAAAAGGCTCGGGGCTTCTGGGGACCGCGCGCAGGAAAAACCCAGGCATCGGATCCCTGGGACTCGGGTTGCGGGCGTTTTTTCGTTGGTTGTCGGGGGTCTTTCAGCTTCGGGATGCTTTCCAACAGGCACGCCTCGCCGAGAGCCTTCCAGGTGTACCCAGATCGTCCTCGACGGCCGCTGAAGAGCGCGGGGGATGGGCTCATGGGGCGAGCAACGACCCCTAATCCTGGGGGATCGCAGACATGGGTTCAGGAGGCGTGGATGAGCGACGGGCCCCGTTCTCGTGGGAGCTCGCGCATTTCCGCCGCGGAACGAGGCGGCACTGGCTGCATTCTGGGGAGGCCCCCCCCCCCCGATCCATGGCTTTGGCGACCGCGCGACAAAGCCATTGATCGCTGATCCATGCCTGCGCGCCCCCGAAATCGGTGTGTATTTTGGTGGGAGGGGGGGAGGGGAACAGGCGGGGCCCCCTGACTCGCTCGACCTGGGGAGCTTGACTCGTCCTCCTCCTCCTCCTCCTCCTCCTCCTCCTCCTCCTCCCTCCTCCTCCTCCTCCTCCTCCTCCTCCTCCTCCCTCCTCCTCCTCGTCCTCCTCCTCCTCCTCCTCCTCCTCCTCCTCCTCCTCCCTCCTGTTTGCGCGCCTCTGATCATGGGGCGTGCAGAGACCCCTCATCGCCCACGCAGCGAAGGCCCGCCCCGCCCACGAACGCGCGGCTTTGCAGTCGGGGGCCTCTCGCCGACGCTTCTGCGATGCATCGCCGATTCCAACTCGGCGTTTCCCGCACCGAGCCGGCCCCCCCTTCAACTTAAGTCGGGCCTGTCCCTCTACAGGGGGAATACTCAACAATAGTCAAAAATAGTCTGGGGACGATTTCTGGAGTATGTTGAAGATGGTTTTATTTTTATCATTTTTCCCATTATTACTCCACAGTCCGCCTGTAGGGGGACATGCCCGACCTAACCTTAGACGTTGCCTATCCTGCCCGCGCCGCATGTGTTTTTCCGCGCCAGGCGTTCTCGCCCGAATGCGAGCCCAAGGAGACCATAATGTCGTGCCGATCCGGCTCGACAGGATGGCCGCAGAAAGTTTGTGCCGATACGACGAATGCCGAATGCAAAACCCTGAGATCCGGGCGTTGCGTTTTTTTTCACAGCGGGCGTTTTCGTTTAATTTCGGGCCCCGGGACCCTCCCAGATCGATCCGGTTCGACGAAAGATGCAGAAAGATGGGGCCCGGGGCGCCCGTCGTGATTTGTTGCAATTTCGTTTTTTTTTTGCAACGTCGGATCTCAGGGAAGGAGGAAACGTTCGGATGTGGCTACGTCGGGAATCTTTGAGAGCCGATCCCAGACGTCCAGCGATGACGTTCGCTATAAGGCGAAGCGGTTCCCGGGGTTCTTCCCTGGCCGCGGGACCATCAGAAATCAATTCAGGATGAAAGGCTTGTCCCGTGGGAAAGCCCTGGGTTCCGGGACACGTATCTCTCAGGACCCGTTTCTTTTCTGGACGCCCGAAATGGGCACGGAAAGAATGGGTACGATGCCCAACAGCAGTTCCTGTTCATTTTGAACAAGACTCGCTGTCCGCGCCGCCACGGCCTGTGTCCATTTGAGACAGAAGGCCGCTTGCCCAGCAGCGGCCGCTGTTGGTTTGGGACGACATTTGTTGTTGGGCATTGTACCCATTCTTTCCGTACCCATTTCGGGCGTCCAAATCTTTCATGGTGAGTATTTTGTTTCAGCTTATTGCCCCAGCTCTCCCGACGACCTCCCTGGTGACAGCGCTTAGTTTTAACTGACCTGTGGCCCGCAAACGGCCCGCCGCTGCGATTGACAGAGTCAGCCCTTCTGAGAGCTGGGTTTCCGATTCGAGGACCCGAGCGTCCTGAAGGTCGTGTTCGGGGTCATGGACGCGAAGGTGCTCGCGGGCGGGAAAGATGTCTCTGGACTGCCTGCAGTCCTCGACTGGAATTTGATTCCGAACGTCTTGCTGCTATTTGTTTGGCCCTGTCAGGAGGTCAGAGCTTCCATCGCTGGCGAAATATTGATGGCCCCGTAACCCGGAGACGGCTTCCAGACGCATGAGACCGACACAGTTGGATCCCCGTGGGTGTTGCTATGGAGATGAGGGGGTTGAAAGTGGACGCCAAGATGGGCTGTATCTGGTCGATTGTTGCCCATAAGTGCATTACAAGTGCCTTGGGTGACTCGGGGGGTGGGTGTCGATGACTCCGCTAAGAGGGCGGAGCTCACTCGGCCTGGATCTTTACCCTTCTGGACCAGACAGGGCAGGTGTAGCAAATGATTTCAGTTAGGATGGGCCACACCTATGGCCCACCGCAGCCTCCAAAGATAATCCCGATTACATATCCCCTTGGCAGCACCCCCGGTGATCCATGCAACACCCTCGGCCCTTGATTTGTTGTTCGATACGCTCGTCGCCCGTGAGGTGCTCTGGCTCTCTGGAGTGCGGCTGCGCGGCGCAATGGACCTGCAGCGCACCGCGCGGATGCTGCAGGGTGACGACGCCGGCGGCCTCGCAGCGATGTACAGGGGCCTCTGCGGCAAGGATCGGGTGCTGCCAGTCTGCGACCACCTGCGAACTCTGCTCCTTCGAGGTTCGAAGGTTCGAAGTTTGTAGGTTCTGGGACATGTTCTGCGGTTCTCGGCGGTTTTCCAGCTTTGGGATGTTTACCAGCAGCTGCGCCTCGCCGAGGGCGTTCTCGGGATGCCCGGATTGTCCCGAACGGCTGCCGGATGGCGCGGAAACCAGTGGGCAAGGTTAGGGGCGGGGGGATACGCTCAGGGGGGAGGCATCGTCCCCCAATCGCTGACTCATTGCCGATAGGGGCCCGATAGCCCACCCCGCCCAGGAAAGTGCTGTTCCGGTTTCGGGGGCTTCTCGTCAATCTATCATCGATGCATCGCCGATTCCAGGTCGACGTTCCGCCACCCGCGACCCCTCCCCCCCGAGCCAGTCTCCCCCCCGCTCGTTCCCCCTTCACCTCTGCAGCAAAGATCGGGAGTTGCCAGTCTGCGTCCTCTTGCGAACCCTGCCCGCACACGAGTCCGATGGACGTTTGGACATCGGACACCCCCGCTGGGGTCTCACCTGGTTGCACTCCTCCTTGAAGCTCTGAGTCCAGGCTGTTTATATGACACGCGTGGAGTCGGGTTCAAATGTGGCTGCTTAGTCACGGCCCAGACCTCCGAATAATCGAAATTCGAAGATTCGCGGCTCCACGATCAAGGCTTCTGGGCTCGTTCTCAGCCAGTTTCTGGGCCTCCTCGTTGCCGCGGCTGGGTTCGCCCCGGACAGCGAGCCGGTACGCACCCCCAGATTGGTCCAGGTGTGATTTTTGAGGCCTGAATTCAAAATCTCCGACGTCGATGTGCTGGTCTATCCTTGTGTGCTTCTTCGATTCTGGTCTCCAGCAGCCGCGTCCGAGCCCCAGAGCCTTCAGAAATGGATCAAGGCTGGATCGGGAGGAAAAAACACACAGACACAATCAATCGTCGATTCCCCAGAACAGATGGGAAAATATGAGAAGTGGGGGGGAAGACAAAAACTTAGAAAATACAGGACATGTTGGAGAATTATGTTACTAGTGTATATTTATTTGTGTGTCCCAGGGCCCCTTCAGTGAAGCATTGTCCCTTGGGGCCGCGGATTGGAGAAAATGCATCGCCGGACGTCTGGGTGCTGTAGGGCCGAAGGTGGCCCCAGCTTTTCCCGGGAGGCCCGGGCGGCCTCCGCGCAGCGGGCGCGGCAAAAAGGAAGCCGTGTTGTCAGCAGGTGCCCCACGGAGATTCTTCGCCGCCATTGGAGTTTGTGGGCTCCCCGCGGAGTCCAAAATGGACCGAGCAATGTGCCCCTAGATTTCTTACAGCAAGGTTTCTTGACGTATGCTCCCAGTGTAGCACCCCTCGCGAGGCCCAGGACGGCCCTAGGCGGTTTCCATTATTATCTAACGCCTTTTCCTCGTCCACCTCCTCGTCCTCCAACCCCTTCTCATCCTCCTCGTCATTCCCCTCGTCCTCTTCTTTCTTATCCATCGCCTCGTCCTCTTCCCATTCCCATCTCTCCAACCCTTCCTCATGCTCTTCGACATCCTCGTCTTCCTCTTCGTTCTCATTATCTTCCTCTGCCTCTTCCGCTACATCCTGGGACTCGTCTCGTCCATATTCCCAGACCTCCTAGGCCTGCTCCACCTCCAACCCCTCATTATCTTCGCGGTCATCGCCGTCTTCCTTTTCCAGAACATGAGTGCGGAAGGCTGGGGGGCACCCTGGGTCAGGGTCGCTTTTGCCAGCTCTATGGCAAGGAGCTGGCGAAGGAGCAGCAGGTCAGCGACTGGGGCGCTGAGGAGCTCTCCCTCGCGCAGGCACACCCGAAGAGCGCCAAAGATCCCTCCCCTTGGGGGTATGTCTTCTTTTTTTATCTGCAACGTACATGTCCTGCAGCAGCTGAGGCAGGGGAAGAGAGGACGGATGGAGGGAAAGGATAAAGAAGGGGGAGAGAGGAGGATGAAGCACAGGAGAGAGAAAGAGAGAGAGAGAGAGAGTAGCAGGAGGGGGCTGGGAACAGAAAACACGTGGCAGAACCACACGGGCAGATCGAGCGGGTAGGCCCTAACAGTCCGGCCCAGGCGGCCAGGTCGAGCAGGCGGGTTGCTGAAGCGTGCGTCCTACATGAATCGCGAGGAAGCCTTGAGCGACAGCGCGATTCCAAAATAAACCTCATGAGACAATTCAGAGCGAGAGTGTGATTCTTGAGAGTCGAGGGCGCGGCGCCTGAATCACGTGCGAGGAGGCCCGATGCGACAGCGCGATTCCTGAGTGTCAAGCGCGACGCCTGAATCCATTGTAAGGAAGTATCCGGCGAGAGCGCGATCCTTATCCTAACGAGAGCGCGATTCTCGAATACATTACAAGGAAGTATCAGGTGGGAGCCGCTGTTGTTGTAAACCAGGGGCCAGGGGCACAGGTTGAGCAGGAAAACCTTCCCCGGTAAAAACAAAGCGAGCCCGGGAGGGGCACTTCAATTGAAAAACGCTTTTGTTACGCGATTGCGTGAGTCTTGCAGAATTCGCAAGGAAGTCTCGGGCGAGAGCGCGATTCCCACGTATATTATCTGGAAGTCCCAGGCGAGAGCGCGATTTCTGAATGGTGAGGGCGTGGCGCTTGAGTAAGCTGCAAGGAAGTTACCCGCGTAAGCGGGAATCTTTGATACATTGTAAGGAAGTCCCTAGCGAGAGCGCGGTTGATTCTTCAATACGTTACACGGAAGTATCAGGCGGGAGCCGCTGTTGTTGTAAACCAGGGGCCAGGGGCACAGTTTGAGCAGGAAGACCTTCCCCGGTAAAAACACAGTGAGCTTGGGAGGGACACTTCAATTGAAAAACGCTTTTGTTACGCGATTGCGTGAGTCTTGCATAATTCGCAAGGAAGTCTCGGGCGAGAGCGCGATTCCCAAGTATATTATCTGGAAGTCCCAGGCGAGAGCGCGATTTCTGATTGGTGAGGGCGTGGCGCTTGAGTAAGCTGCAAGGAAGTTACCCGCGTAAGCGGGAATCTTTGATACATTGTAAGGAAGTCCCTAGCGAGAGCGCGGTTGATTCTTCAATACGTTACACGGAAGTATCAGGCGGGAGCCGCTGTTGTTGTAAACCAGGGGCCAGGGGCACAGTTTGAGCAGGAAGACCTTCCCCGGTGAAAACACAGTGAGCCCGTGAGGGGCACTTCAATTGAAAAACGCTTTTGTTACGCGATTGCGTGAGTCTTGCAGAATTCGCAAGGAAGTCTCGGGCGAGAGCGCGATTCCCACGTATATTATCTGGAAGTCCCAGGCGAGAGCGCGATTTCTGAATGGTGAGGGCGTGGCGCTTGAGTAAGCTGCAAGGAAGTTACCCGCGTAAGCGGGAATCTTTGATACATTGTAAGGAAGTCCCTAGCGAGAGCGCGGTTGATTCTTCAATACGTTACACGGAAGTATCAGGCGGGAGCCGCTGTTGTTGTAAACCAGGGGCCAGGGGCACAGTTTGAGCAGGAAGACCTTCCCCGGTAAAAACACAGTGAGCTTGGGAGGGACACTTCAATTGAAAAACGCTTTTGTTACGCGATTGCGTGAGTCTTGCATAATTCGCAAGGAAGTCTCGGGCGAGAGCGCGATTCCCAAGTATATGATCTGGAAGTCCCAGGCGAGAGCGCGATTTCTGAATGGTGAGGGCGTGGCGCGTGAGTAAGCTGCAAGGAATTTACCGGCGAAAGCGGGAACCTTTGATACATTGCATAATGTCCTTAGCGAGAGCGCGATTGATTCTTCAATGCACTTCATAGAAATATCCGGCGGGAGCCGTTGTCGTTGTAAGCCGTAGGCCAGGGGCACAGTTTGAAGGCCACGAAACGTGTGACGAGTGTGCCAAAATGGGTGCGGTGACCGCATGCGACCGCTGGCATTTGGGCCTTCGGTGGGGCTCCTTCTTGGGGGCACGAAACCTGTGAAGGGTGTGCCAAACTCTGTGCGGTGGCCGCACGCCAACGCTGACATGTTGGCCTGCGGTGGGGCTCCTTGTGAGGGCTCGAAACGCGTGAGGGGTGTGCCAAAATGGGCGGTGGCCGCATGCGAACGCTAACATTTGAACTTGCGGTGAGGCTCCCTGTGTGGCCACGAAACGTGTGAGAGGTGTGCCAAAATGGGTGCGGTGGCCACATGCGAACGCTGGCATTTGGGCTTTTGGTGGGGCTCCCCTGTGGGGCCACGAAACGTGTGGTGGGGTGTGCCACAATGAGTGGGGTGGTCACATGCGAACGCAGGCATTTAGGCCTTCGGTGGAGCCCGTGTGTGGCCACGAAACGTGTGAGGGGTGTGCCAGAATGGGCACGGTGACCGCATGTCAACGCTGACATTTGGGCCTGCGGTGGGGCTCCCTGTGGGGCCACGAAACGTGTGAGGGGTGTGCCAGAACGGGCGCGGCGACCGCATGCGAACGCGTGCGTTGGTACTTTTTGGTGAGGCTCTTTATGTGGCCACGAAGCGTGTGAAGGGTGTGCCAACACGGGCGGGATGGCCACATGCGAACGCTGGCATTTGAACCTCCCAGTGGAGCCACGAAACGTGTGAGGGGTGTGCCGAACTGGGTGCGGTGACCGCACGCGAATCCCTATGGGGGCCCGAAGCGTGTGAGGGGTGTGCCCGAATGGGGGCGGTGGCCGCGTGCGAACGATTGCATTTGGTCCTTCGGTTGGGCTCCCATTGGGGCCACGAAGCGTGTGAAAGGGTGTGCCAAACTGGGTGCGGTGGCCGCATGTCAACGCTGACCTCTGGGCCAGCGGTGGGGCCTCCTGTGGGGCCACGAAACGTGTGAGGAGTGTGCCAACATGGGCGGTGGCCGCATGCGAACGCTGATATTTGGGCCTGCTGTGGGGCCCCCTTTGTGGGGCCACAGAACGCTTGAGGGGTGTGCCACAATGGGTGCGGTGGCCACATGCGAACGCTGGAATTTGGGCTGTCTGCTGGGTTTCCCTGTGATGCCACGAAACGCGTGAGGGGTGTGCCAAAATGGACGCGGTAGCCGCATGCGAACGCAGGCATTTAGGCCTTCGGTGGGGCTCCCTGTGGGGCCACGAAACGTGTGAGGGGTGTACCAGAATGGGCTCGGTGACCGCATGCGAACGCTGGCATTTGGGCCTTCGGTGGGGCTCCCTGTGGGGCCGCGAAACGTGTGAGGGGTTTGCCAGAACGGGCGCGGTGACCGCATGCGAACGCTTGCGTTGCGGCTTTCGGTGAAGCTCCTTATTGGGCCACGAAACGTGTGAGGGGTGTGCGAACATGGGTACGGTGACCGCATGTGGGCACTTGCGTTGGGGCTTTCGGTGGGGTTTTCTATCGGGCCACGAAACGCGTGAGGGGTGTGCCAAGCAGATTGACTGGTTCGGAGGGCAGAGGCAGGCATCGGATGAGAAAGGGCAGGGGGAGGAGACAGGAAGGAAGGACGGAAGGAAGGAGAGGAACGCGGGGCACTGCCCCCTTCAAAACGAGGACCCAACACCACAACATGGTTGGGAAAACCACATATGTTACCACATGTGGGGCCAACATTTTTGATTCACATGTAATGAGGGCTCAGCAACAACAGCAAGCACAGCAACAGCAACAACACCACCCATGTCACCACCATTCGCCATGCTTCCACATGCCACATGCGTCATGACGCATACCACACCCCATCATGGGGGATTGTTCTGGCATGCGGGGTCCGATATTCCCTCGCCCAGATATCCCGCCCAATAAAGTATCGCGACCGCCCCTTCCGAGGAACTTCGGAATCCACAGCTCGGACGGCACATCGTCATCGCAATCGCCATGCGCGCGCCCCGCACCTCGGAGGAGGAGGGATAGGACGAGGATGTGGAGGGATGATGAGGGAGAGGAAGAGGGAGAGGAGGAGGGGGAGGATGGGGAGGAGGAGGAGGGGCAGGAAGGAGGAGCAGTTGTAATAGCAGTACCTCCGGGGACGAGGTGGTTCTCACTCCCCGGTTCGAGCCTTTGCGCCACCATCCTGCGGCTTCGGCGCGTGACCCTGAACGGTCACACCCCCAGGCGTTGCCGCCCCCACGCTCGCAGCCTCCACCTGCCTTCCCCGCGCCCCCCCCCCAACACACACACAAACACACACACACACACACAAACGCAAACGCACACGCACACGCACACGCACACGCACACGCACACGCACACGCACACGCACACGCACACGCACACGCACACGCACACGCACACGCACACGCACATGCACACGCACACGCACACGCACACGCACACGCACACACACACACACACACACACACACACACACACACACACACACACACACAACACACACACACACACACACACGCACACGCACACGCACACACGCACACACACACACACACCCTCCACACCCAATCCTTCGACCCTCGATCCATGGAGCCCCTGGGAGTCATCCGTCCTCCTTCTCCTCTTCCTCCTCCGCGTTATCTATTTTATCCCAAACTGATAGTTACTGAGTACTTAGGTTCAACGACGACTTTGGGAAGCCTTCCAGGGGCGATCCCGAAACGAGTCCCCAGTCTTGAGTAAAAGGTGAGGGAAGACCAAGCGGGGGCGACGAGGAAGGACGGCATGGGGAATGGGGGGGGGGAGGAGGGAGGAGGAGGGCAGGCGGACGGAGGAGACAAGTGC